TGTGTCGTGCCACTTGCGAGGCGCCTGGCGGAGACCGTAGACTGGCCGCCGGAGGCTCCACTGGGTACTAGCAGGAAACGACCCAGTGAAGCCAGGTGGGCGGCGCAGCCAGATCTCGTCGTGCAGGCTGCCCTGCAAGAAAGCTGTACTGAAGTCCAGAGAGTGCAACTTGTAGTCACGCTGAGCAGCGACATGCAGCAGTACCCAAAGAGTGGTCATCTTCGGGGTGGGGGAGAAGGTCTGGAAGTAGTCGACCCCCTGTCAAACTGAAGCCTTGAGCAACGTAACGCGCCTTGAAGGCAGGCGGAGAACCCGGCAACCGCTTCACCCTGAAAATCCACATGCCATCGACTATGTTCGCCCTAGACGGGGGAACTGCGTCAACGTAGGTGCCTGTGGACTTCTATCTCGGCATCCATGGCTTCCTGCCACTGAGAGGAGTAAGGACCCGGAATTGCCTCTGCGTAAGAGCGCAAGGTTGGGATGTCTGGAGCATCCGGGTCTCCCTCAGGGGCAAGCAGCATGGAAGCGAAACGAGATACAGCAGCCGCAAGACACTCAAGGTCCTCCTGCCTGTCCTCAAGGACGTTCGTGCCAAGAGCACACTCACCCACGACGGACGGAGGACTGGCAGACTCAGAATCAACAACAAGAGCAGTCACGTAGTCTAGACGACAGGCAGCAGCAAAGTCAACTAGCTCAGCAACGAGGGCAAACGCAGCAGTGGACTCAAAAGAAGGGTCAGTGACAACAGTGGGGAGGAGACAAGGGACAGTGGGACTGGCAGCACGAGCAAGGTCAGACTCAGGGTCAGGGACGCCAGGAAGAGAGGACTGGGGAGGAGGCGGCAGAGGAACACGCAGTGGAACAGAGGAAGGACGAAGTGCCATAGCGTGGGTGCCGGGGAGAGGAGGAGGACACGGACGAGGAACCCTACGACCAGTGCAACCAGCGCGAACAGGCGAGGCAGGACGAGACTCAGGCTCACGACGCTCTGTAGGACCTCCAGTCTGCTCAGTGTGAGGAGAAGGAGAAGGCAGTGGGGAGGCTGGCTGTAACGGCGACTGTGACTGGTGAGGCGGTGGACACTGTAAGTGAGGAGTAAGGCCAGTAGAAGACCGTAGACCAAGAACCTGCTAAAGTAGGGGAACGAAGTATGGATGCGGCCGCACAGTGCCTCCAGCACCAGTACCGCCAGACACAACACCCTCAGCTCCAGCACCCCCAGCTCCAGGGTCAACAGTCCCAGCGTCTCCAGCTCCAGCTCCTCTAGCGCCAGCGCCACTAGCGCCAATGCCTCCAGCTCCAGCGCCAGCAGCTCCAGTGGCACCAGCTCCAGCTCCTCCAGCTCCAGCGCCACCAGCTCCAATGCCTCCACCTCCAGTGCCTCCGGGCTCCGCAGGGTCTCCAGCTCCAGCTCCTCCAGCTCCAGCTCCCTCAACACTACCAGTCCCGGCAGCTCCAGTACCCATGGTACGAGCACCTCCAGGACCAGTAGTCGCAGCACCTCCGGTACCACCAGCTCCAGCAGTGACTCCAACAACTCCAGCTCCAGTCTCACCAACGGCAGAGACTCCAGCTCCTGCAGCTCCACTCTGAAGGCGGGTGTGCTGAGCAAACAACTCGCGCAGCTGCTGCGGGGAGAGAGGCTATGGCCGGGGAGACAGTCGTGGCGAAGCACCCGCAGGACCTCTAGAAGAAGCAGTACCCCGAGGCTCAGCACCCCCAGACTCCGCACCCTCAGACTCAGCACCCCCAGGCTCCGCACCCGCAGGCTCAGCACCCCCAGGCTCAGCACCCCCAGGCTCAGCACCCCCTGGCTCAGCACCCCCAGGCTCAGCACCCCCAGGCTCAGCACCCCCAGAACAGACACCCTCAGACTCAGCACCCCCAAGCTCTGCACCCCCAGACGCAGCACCTCGAGCAGCACCTGAGCTGACAGCCACCTCAAAAGGCACAGTACCAAGGAGAGGGTCTACCTGAGACACACCTGAGGGAGCAGGACCCTGGGGGGGGAGGGGTTCTACCGGAGGGGGATCTGGAGCAAGGAAGAGAGGCGGGGGTGGGGGAGGGCAGAGCGGTAGGGGAAGAGACGGTAAAATGGATCTGACTCGTCAAACGTGACGTCCTGAGAGGGGAAGAGACGGCGCGAGGTGGGGTGGTAAAACTGCCAGCCAAGCACGTCAGGGGGAAAGCCAAGGAAGACGCAGGGAATAGCGCGGGCGGAGAGCTTGACCGTGGACGTATCGCGAACAAAGGCACAAGAGCCCTAGACCCGGAACACCATCGCATCGCCAACCTCCCCCGTCCAACGCAGTGTCGGCAAAGTCTCCGGCAAGGAGACACGGGGCCAGAGGTTGAGCTGATGCGCAGCGTACCGGACTGCAAACGGCCACATAAAACGGGGAGCAGCCGCATGGATCATGGAGGTACGAGCGACCTCCATGACCAGGCCAATGCGGCGCTCAGCAATCCCATTTTGCTGAGGGATCCCGGAAGTGTGAACGACTGGAGATTGCCCTCCCCACGACAAAAGTCCCGCAAGAAGTCGGAGGAGAACTCACCACCTCTGTCAGAATGCAGACGCAGGACAGGAAGGTCCTGGCGGAAACGCTCGCGAAGCTGGAGACGGACTGCGCGGATCCAAGTGATCAAGACATCAGGGACCTCACCCTTGCTACGTTAGGGGAAGACCGTGGTGTAGCGCATGTAGTCGTCAACAACCAGCAGAATGTAGCGCTCGCGGCCCTGTCTACTGACGCGGGCTGGGCCCCACACGTCCATGTGGAGAGTCTGCAGGGGAGCAGTCGTCGGGGGAATCGAGGAGGAGTGAGGAGCGGCGCGCTGCCGCCCCTCAACGCAAGGAAGGCAGGGCGGGGCTAGCGAGGGCGGGAGAGGAGGCAGAGACCTGGGAAGACCAGAGACAAGGAGGCGGGAGTGCATACCACGAAGGCGTGGCAGGGAGGGGTGACCAAGGTGGTGGTGCCACAGGAGAGTCTGGTGCGACAGGAGACGACACGAGCAAGGGGGTGCTACCGGACCTGACACGGACACTTGGGCAGACGCAGCTACCTGAGGAGGCTCGGTAGCCAGTGTGTACAGACTCGACCCAGGGCGACGAGTGAACGTGGCCAGGTGATGGCCCGTCCGTGTACACCCAGGTGATGGCCCGTCCGTGTACACGTGCACATCGACACACGCTGACCCTCAAGAGTGGTGGTAGTGACCATCACATCATGGAGGGCAGCGGTACTCACCAAGTTCGTAGAGAACGAGGGGAGGTGAAGACCTGACAGTGAGCCGGACGGAACCGTCGGACACGGGAGAACAATGGAGGAACGGGCAAGGACTGGGCCCACTGAGGGGTCAGCCAGTCTGACCGGGACAGGTGTAGAGAGAGGAGTGAGGGTGGTGCTGTCGCGAAAGAAACAGCGTGAAGCACCTGAGTCAAGCGTAAAGGTGTGCAAGGCCTCAGCAGGCGCAGTACCGGGGAGAGCAGACTCACTAGCACCGAGAGCAGCAGCCTCTATACCTGAGTCAGGCGGCACACACAGGTAACAGTCACCCTCAGCACTAACACACAAGGCATACATAGCAGCAAGGATAGCATCATAATCTAGGTCAAAGATAGCAACTCCAGACCTAAGCAGCTCTGGCCAGCGGGGGCGCTCGGCCTCGTCACCAAACTCTGCGCGCCAAGCGACGTCTAGGCGGGAGAAGCAGCGGTGCTGAGTGTGAGGCCTCCCGCATGTCTGACCAGCACTGTCACCCGTGCGAATGACATACGGGTAGCTACCACTACCCCCAGACGCCCCACGCTGAGAAAACCACTCACGAAGCTGCTGGGGCGATGGGGTCTCGCTCGGACGCTGCTGCTGCTGCTGCCTCTAGCCACCGCCAGAACCTCCACGCTGAGTAGCTCCAGCCCTACCGCCTCCACTCCCACTGCCGCCACTACCGCCACCCCCGCCGCTGCCTCCACCGCCGCTGCCAAAACCCCCACTCCCGCCGCCACTCCCACCACCGCCACCACCTCCACTGCCTCCACCACCTCCACTGCTGCCCCCACCACCACCCCTGCTGCCACCGCCACCACCCCTGCCACGCAGTAGTGGCAGGGGAGGAGTAACGAGCGACTACAGCGTCGTACAGGGCCTTAGCAGTCTTGTGCTGGCCAAAGTGAGAGCGTTCGGCTAACGGCAGGTGGTTGCGAATGGCTAAGCGAGCAGCAACGTCACGAGTAAGCCACTGTGAGCGAGTCGCACTGTCAGCTGTGGCGGGAGGGGCGGGAGCGGCGCTAGACGTGTGGTCAAACAACGAAACGCTGTCTCTAGAGTCGCTCAGTAGGTACAGCTGCAGGTCGTCGAGCCACGTGTCAAACTGGATCGGGCGGCCCTCATGATCGAATGCGAGAACGCGGAGAACAAGGCTCGAATCTATGCACGAATGTGAGAGTGCACGATGAACCGAACATGTGTTTTTTTGGGCACGCAAGAGAAGTTGACGAATTGCGCGATTTGTTCGTGCACCAATTAACGCACCACTGAAACCAGGTAAACAGTTCGTCTCGCAGAGCTAGACGAAACCAGGTAACCTAAATAGCCTACGGGCGGCTCGGCTCACCCCCTATAAGGTCGAACGTGCAAAATAGAACTTGGGTGTGTGGTTGTGCTTCAACCGTTTGCGAGACACGCGGATCGAACTTTGCCATCAACAAAAGTCGAATTTTGTTCACCTTATGTTCAAATGCTCATTCGATTTTAAAACGCAAACTTATACCAAGAATAAAATCACACACGCCCTAAGCCCCTGAAGTATCTGCACCAAGCCTGACCTTCGGTCGTCATACATGGCACGCAGCTTGGAGTAGAGGCACAGACGTTGGTGCAGAGGTTTGGCTGCACTGCTCCGTTGTGTCTGGTCCTGCAAAGCCCTGCAAACACAAGAGCAATGTCTGATTAGACTCCATCCGATTATGAACAAAACCAAGATAGGGGGAGTTAGAACCGACAGCAGTACCAGAGGTCTCCGTGGCCACAGATGTTGCCGCTTTTAAGTCCCCGACCGCGCGCCCAGCAGATGGTGCAGAGGATGGCGTGGTGGCGGAGGTTCAGGCAGAACTTGGAAAACAAATAAAACTTCTCAAACAGTAGCGGATCCTTGCACCCTGGAGGTATGCGCACCACAGGCAATGGCTGAAGCTGCCGCACGAGTGGTGGGTATGAGAATGAGGACAGGGAGACGCTGCGGGCGGCTGCATTCACGTTGCCAGAAGAAACTGCTACCTTGCTGGCAGCGTGTGCATAAGGTGTGTGAATGTTGACCTTGAGGAGGTCCAGCGTGGCTCGAAGCGAGTCCAGCTCCTCATTACCCAGATCTGGTTGACTCTGCGGGAACACACACAGCGATGGTTGCGGAGATGGACGAAAGCGAGCCTTGCTAGGAACGACAGCAGGAAGTACAGGCAAAGACGAGGGATCGCTCGTTTACATGCATTGACCGTTTTAATGGCGGGCTGGCGATATAGAAGGTACATGCAGCTGTTTGTACGCCAAAAGCAACATCACGAGCGAGAAGTCTGCAGCATTCACGGACGCCAGTTCCCAGCTACTCTCCGCTGACGCTCCACCTCGTGTTTCCCCGCTCTCCGCTCGCGCCACACCCTCTCGCGCAACTCCCTCCGCGTCATCCGCGCGGTTGCGGGGAGCAGCGGCGGACCAGCGGTCGCTGAGCAGCGAGGCGAGGAAGGGCGAGTGGCGCGAGAGCAGCGACGCGTTGCAGAGGAACTGCGTCCTCTCAGGGCCCACCAGCAGCGACACCACCCGCCCGCCGCCCCCGCTCAACGCCTGCTGCGCGCCAAGCCGACCGTGACCATCGTGGGATACTGACAGTTTTTCCGTGTCCATGGCTGAAATGCGTGTCAGGCGCTGTCCCATCAGCCAGCTGACAGATACTCAACGAGAATCTTCGAAGTTACAATACAAAGAGAGATTACGGAGGCTCTTGCCGAGTGAAGAGTAACCGCTAAGGTCGAGAGACCCATGTCGCGCCGCCCACGAGCCGAGTTTGGCGAAACGAGGAGGGCATCCCTAGTGGAATGGCGACCGCTTGGTGGAGATGCAACCAATTTGCATGCCCGATGTTTTCGTGTTCTGAGACTCTCTCTTAGCAAGAGTAAACCGCTGCTTGTGTGTTGGAGACAAGTTCTGAAGCCCCAACGTGAAGATTTGATGATCAGTATACCGTAGATGACAGTACTCTATATTGCGATGTTTACACTTTCAGAAGCAGTAAGGAAGGCTGACAACATAAAGTGCCCCAACGCAATGTCATGCAAAGCAGCCCGCTTCTAAGACCAGCTGTACAAACGAATGCACTCTTCCAGAAGCTCCTTGGCTTGCTCGACAGCCAAGTGGAAAAAAAACTCCATGTCTGGAACAGTCTGCGGAACAGGCCCTCAGATTCACTTTTAGGGACGTTGATGCATCAGGGTCCCTGTGAAAAAAAGCCTGAATTTTCAGGGTTCCTAAAAAAAAAAGCCTGAATTTTCAGGGTTCCGGAAAACAAGAGCCTGAATTTTCAATTACATCATGCAATTGTGCAAGAGAGTAGCCTCTAAGAATATGGTGGTAGAGGGATTCGAACCGGAATCCTTATCAATCGGTATCTACTTCGCTAACCACTAAGCCAGTTCATCGAGTCGATGACCGGTATTTTTTAGGCAAGATTTTATGATGCGGAAATGTTGGTTGACTTATTGTCTCGGGTGTTTTACGGGAAGGATTCGGAATGTGCATTCAGTGTACACTTCGATAAAAGTCTGAAACATCAGTGTTAGCTATGAAGTAAAGGCTGAAAAAATCAGTGTCACAAAAATCTCAACACTGAAAATTCAGTGTAGGTACACAAAACTAGGCTGAAAATCAGGAATTTCAGGGAAAAATTCCTGATATCGTAGGGCCTGCTGCGGAACCCACTTCCACCCACAGTCCGCACACCAGGCTGAGGTTCGGAACAGGTAGACCAGGCAGTGGAGGCTCCTGCACTGTGGGCAATGCAGGGAGCCCCCTGCAGGTAGGGTAACAGGAATTACGAGCGACTGAATGGTAAGCTCCTGCCGTATCTGCACCGAGCCAGACTTCTGGTCGTCGTACATGGCACGCAGCTTGGAGTAGAGGCACAGCCGCGTGGTGCAGAGGTCTGGCTGGACCACTTTCCGCTGTGTCCGGTCCACCAAAGCCCTGCAAACACAGGACCAGACGCCACGATCAGAGTCAACCCAACCATAAACAATGTCACAAGAGGTGGGTGAAATTACAACCCTGGGACGAAACCCTAGAAGCAGTACCAGAGGTGACCGTGACCGCAGATGTTGCCGCTCCTGAGCCCCTGGCCGCTGGCCCAGCAGATGGTGCACAGGATGGCGTGGTGGCGGAGGTTCAGACGGAACTTAGAGAACTCATCAGGCTGCTCAAACAGCAGCGGGTCATTGCACCCTGGAGGTATGCGAACCACCGGCAATGGCTGCAGCTGCCGCACCAGAGGTGGGCATGAGAAGGAGGTCAGGGGGACGTTGCCGACGGCTGCATTGGTGCTGCTGGCAGGCACTCCTCCCTTGCTGGAGAACTCTCTGGCAGCGTGTGCATTAGGCGTGTGCATGTCGACCTTGAGGAAGTCCAGCGTGCCTCGAAGCGAATCCAGCTCCTCATTACCCAGATCTGCTTGACTCTGCGGGAACACACACAGCGAAGGTTGCGGAGATGGATCAAAGCGGGGCCTTGCTACCCACAACGGCGTGGATCACAGGCAAAGACGAGAGCTTGCTGTTTCTACACGCCCTAACCGTTTTCACTGGCTGGCTGGATGGAAGGTACCTGCAGTTGTTTGTACGCCAGAAGAAGCATCACGTGCGCGAAGTCTCTCGCATCCACGGAGGCCAGCTCCCAGCTGCTATCCGCTGACGCACCGTCTCGCGCTTCCCCGCGCTCCTCTCGCGCCACACCCTCTCGCGCAGCTCCCCCCGCGTCATCCGTGCGGATGCGGGGGGCAGCGGCGGACCAGCGGTCGCTGAGCAGCGAGGCGAGGAAGGGCGAGTGGCGCGAGAGCAGCGACGCGTTGCAGAGGAACTGCGTCCGCTCAGAGCCCACCAGCAGCGACACCACTCGCTCGCCGCCTCCGCTCAACGCCTGCTGCGCGCCGAGCCATCCGTGACCGGCGCCTGATCTTGGCGGACTCTCCGTATCCATGGCTGGAACGAGGAAAAGCGCCACCTAGTGGCTCGGCTTGCACAAAACCAGAGACTGATTGCTGCAGTCGGAACTAACGAATTCGTGCCGAGTCGCATGATTTCGCAACGGCGGACACTGTTAGGAAGTGAAGGTGATTTTGGGAGGGAAAGGGGATCCCCGACAGAGCCCAGACGCAGAGCCGCCATGGCTGCTCCGAGTGCGGTGTGAGGTGATGTGTGCATGGAATGGTGGCCACTTGGCATTGTGCGATGAGGCATGTTGAATTGGGAGTCGCAGTTCCGCATGCGAGGGGCATGCGGGCGGACAGGCGAAATTGCATGTGCTGTGTAACCCAAACATTTGAGTACTGGTCGAGTTTTGAACTTGAAGGAATTACTGTATCAAACCATTGAGAGTTTCCAATCGAGTATACAACAAACCATCCATCACCAATCACATCTGCACAGCAATTGGCGCAATGGCCCCTCCACTCCACTCTCACCACGGCGCCTTCCGCCTTCCCCCAATCCGCACCATCACCGCCTCATAGGGGGCCCATTTCTTGCTCTGCCACCAAACACCACAACCCTCCATCCCATCTTACAGCGCGCCCACCATGACCCTTCCACCAACTGCGGTGCCGCCAATCATGGCGCCGTGCGCGAGTCCGTGCGGCGACGGCGTGGTCGACGTGCTGGGGGCGGAGGTCACCGTCGCGCTCCTCGCATGCCTCGACGCTCCTAGCCTTGCGCGCTGCGCCGCTGTCTCGCGCTCATGGCGCCGCCTCGCCACGGAAGACACTCTCTGGCTGCCGCTCTGTCGCAGCCTCTGGCGCTCCAAGGCCTACGTTCCGCGCCGCTTTACGGCGCTCCTGGATGAGCCTCCGAAGCGGGGTGCTTCGCGTCACGGCGCAACGGCCACTCGTGTTGCGTCACTCGCGGCAGTCCCTATGTGCGCTGGTGATGGAGCGGGAGGGAGGTCCCTCGAGAATAAAGCGGAAGCGGTTGCGAATAACGAAACTCAACCACACTCAAAGACGGAACGCGACTCGGACGCGAATTCTAATCATTTTGAAGTTTCGGAGCCGTTCTCTTGGGCGGCAATGTACAGGCAATCCCTAGGCGAGGGAGCGAGGGAGGGGATACTAGCGGAAGAGCTGTGCAGCGTGACGTGGAGCTTTCGCTTTAAGCACATGGACCTGCCGTGGATCAGAAACCATCCGTTCTGGGTGAACCTGCCGCCGCTGCTCCGCCGCTTCCACGCGGACGGCAGTGTGGTGTCCGGCACGCGCAACGACCCCATCTTCGGCTCGCATGAAAACATCTGGCGCTTCGTGCCTCACTCCATTTCTCCAGGACCTGCTGCTCCTACTGCTGCTGCTGCTGCTCCTGCCGCTTCTTCAGATGACGGTACGCGGAGCAGTGAGGGCGGTGCTGGGGGAAATGGCGGGCAGGGCAGTGGTGAGGGCGGGAGTAGTGTTCAAGAGAGAGCAGGGGGGGAGGTAAGGCCAGGGCTGAGTGGAATGGGGGTTACATTGGCGATAGGAGCAGGAGGGGTTTACAGTACTTGTGCCACTAGCGCACCCAGGCCACAGTCTGCTGCCATGCCTGCTGCTGCTGCTGCTGCTGCTGCTGCTGCTGCTGCTGCTGCTGCTGCTGCTGCTGCTGCCCCTGTGGCAGCGATGCGAGTGCGCATCAACCACTGGCCGGCGCTGACGGTGGTGCGCAGGGCGGACTGGGGCTGGGACATGGCCAACGAGTACGTCATCTACTGCAGTCTCCCGCCCTCGCCCTGATGCGCGCCTCTCCTGCCCACTGCTCCCCTAGGCTTTCCTTCTCCAGCTCAAGTGTGCCTCCACGGCCACCATCCCTCACATGCCATTTTTTTCCTTCACTTGCTTCAATCAAGGGTGTGCACTGATGTGATATGTGATGAGCTAGGCTGTGTATGCAGTGCCACTCAGCTCAGCACACATCAATGCCCCAATGGAACAATTGCTTGACTATTGTTTACCTACTGTATGATTTTGTACCATGGAATGAAGTGCAATACTGTTGACAACCGTAAACTACAGTACCGTATGGCCCCGGATATAAGCGCAGGCCTATTAAAAGCGCATGCGCTTGTATCTGGAGCAATGCGCTTATGGCCGATCCTCAATTATAAGTGCACCCCTTATAAAACCCTGATATATTATAAGCGCATGTGTAATTTTATTTATAATTCTTCATTAAAACGGTAACGAATTTCAGTTTTGCAGCGAGGCCACAACCCATTTTCGCTTACATCGACTTTCGAAGACCTCTCACATCCTGCGCGTCCAGTCAGCACGAGCTGGCACGCCCTCAAAGTGAGGTGTTACACTGTATTTTGCCTCTGGGCGCTCGCGAAGAATCGCCCGCGCGCGATTTTGACATGTGACTTTCTACAATTTCGATTCGATTGAAATCTGAAGGATGAGATGTACAATTTGGTGCATTGAAATATATATTTGTATTTGTTATATTATAAGCGCATGCGCTTATAATTTTTACTCAATTGTAAGCGCACCCCCCAAAAAAACACTGTTTTATTATAAGCGCAGGTGCGCTTATATCCGGGGTAATACGGTATAAGAAAACTGCTTCTAGTCATACGTGTAAGCACTACTCTTACTGGTCTAGCAAAGGAAGACCCTGAAAAGGAGTGAAGCGGAGTCCTAGTGGCTCCCTCGCTGCAAGGACTACCGTACCTAGTGGGGGCACACACCCAACCCAGGTCCACACGAAACTGTCACCTGTCAATAACATTACTAGAAATATACCCAAGGCCAGTCACAGAAGAGAAGAGCGTCCTGGTTGCATGGCTTGGTGCAAACCCCACGCCACGCCTCGCAATGCCACGCCGTGCCTGGCTCCCCCCCTTGGGTCACTGCTTGAGGTATTTGAGCGCCACCTGGCGGCGCTTGAGCTCCTCGTGCGGCACGCCCAGGTCGCCCGCGAGCATGAACGCGGAGGAGCCCTTGTACCGCGCCTCAAACACGCGCAGCCGCGTGCCGCTGCCCGTGCGCGACGTGGATGCGAGGAAGTGGTCGGGGCGCGTGACGGGGCCGTGGCGCAGCTGTGCCAGGATGACTGCCAGCAGGAACTGCAGCCGGATCTCCGCCCTCTTCGTCTCGTCCAACCCGTCGTCCACGTCCGGTGGGGACTGCGCGTGGTGATGGGATGGGGCGGGAAGCAGGAAGAGGAAAGGGGGGGCGGGACGGGGGGGAAAGGGGGGGGGAGGGGGGAGGGGGAGTGGGGGGTGATGGGAGAGGAAGGGGGGAAAGTAGAGGGCAAGGAGGGGAAGGATGAAGTGGGGGAGGGGAAACAACATATATTACAGAGGGGGTTGGAGGGGGTGTTGGGGGGATTTGTGAGGTAGAGGAGCACATTCCGGGGTAGGGAACGCAGAGCACATCATGGAATCAAGATCGCAAGAGGTGAATGGAATGAGGAGGATGGGGCCGTACGACAAGGAGGGGTGGAGTTAAGGTGGAGGCATGGTTACCGGGGTGATGAGGTTGGGAAAGGAGGCGAGGAGGCCGGAGCGGAACATGGCGGCAAGGGGCACGTAGTCGACGTTGAGAGCCATGGCCACGCCCACCGTGCGCATCAGCAGCATGTACTCGTGCACGCGCTCACTGCTCGGCGTGTTGCGCCGGAACTCGCGAATGGCGTCGCGGCACGTGTCGTCGATGTTGCAGAGGAAGACCTCGTGCTCCTGGGTGGCGCGGTCGGAGTCGTCCCCGGCCTCTGACAGCAGCGTGCAGTCAAAGAGCAGCACCAGCAGCGCCTCGTACGCCCCCAGTGACCCCGCTGCCTCCGCTGCTGTCGTGCACCCCAGCCCTGCATGCGGAGGGGTGAGGGAGAGGGCAAGGCGAGGACACGTGGATGGGTCAGGGGATTCGCACAGGAGACTCGGAGATGCAAGGATGCGGCGGGGCAAGCAAGTGGGAGGTAAGAGGGCATAGAGGAGTGGGGAGGCGAAGGAGGCAGAGAGGACGTCACATGTGTGGCATTTGAGACCCACACGACCCGGAGCAGAGTGCCCGTGTGTGCCCCTCCGTCCCCTGCATGCACTCACCGCTGGCCCTCTCACACTCCTCATCCGATGGTGCCCTCGCCAGCGTCTGCATCAGCGACACCGCCGCCGCCGCTCGCCTGCCAGCCAGCATGTTCCAGATGCGACAAACCATGCCGCCCTTGAGCGCGACCGTGGAGAGCGTGGAGACATGCTCATGCGTGAAGAAGAGCAAATCGTTGGCGTCCGCATCATATCCGCGCACAGTGGGCGGCGGGCCACACGAGGGCGCCACGGGCACATCAGCAGCAGCGCTGGGAGCAGCAGGAGGGGCAGCGAGGGGGTCGCCCAGCCCCACTGCGTGGCCCCACTGGCGGCACAGCTCCATGGAGCGGTGTGCACCGAGAATGTCCGTGTGGCACGCCTCGGGGAAGCGCACGAGCATCTCTTTCAGCAGCTCCACTGCCTCCTCCACCTCCTCTCGCTCCACTGCCTCGTCTATCGGGTCGCGCACCACCTCCTCCTCCACCTCCCCGTTCCACGACTCCTCGTACTCCCCCCCGCCCTCCGCCCACTCCTCTGCCTCCCCGCCGTACCCTCCTCCCCCCCCTCCGCCGCCGCCTCTGGGTTTGGCAGTGCCGCGCTGGCCGACGCGGCCCATGATGCGGTGGCGCATGCCGGTGCTGGCGTCGTCCTCGTCGGGCAGGTCGGGGTCGTCCAGGTCGTCCACGGATGATGCCTGCATGGACTCCCCTGCCAACAGCAGCTTGCGAGCGCGCAGCATGCTGCTGCCCTTGGGCACCGGCTTCCTCCCCCCCCGCCTCCCCAGCGGCCCGCTGTGGCCCTTCCCACTGCCGCCGCCGCCACCACCACCACCACCACCACCACCTCCCTCCCGCTCCCCCCCTCCCCCACTGCCCCGCCCGCCCCCTCCCCCTGGGCGCCCCCCGCCCTCGGAGCCGCCCTGGCGCCAGTCGCTGCCGCTGCCACTGGTGGAGCCCCTGGGACTGGCACCGCTGTGCCCGTCCACCACTGATGACGCATCCTCCTCCCCGGCCCCCCTCACACTGCCCCCGCCCCCACTGCCCCTCATATCGCCCCCTTCGCTCTCGCTCCTCTCCACACCCCCTCCACTCCCGCTCTTCTCCCACTCGTCACGCCCCGACCCCGACCCTCCTCCCCTGCCGCCGCCCCTGTCACCATCCCCCCCACCTCGCCCCCTGCCTCCGCGGCTGTTGTGCGACCCGCGCAGCGACTCCGTGTCACCCTCAGCACTGCCTTCGTCATTCGCCCACTCACCCTCCTCCTTCCTCCTCGCCTCGCCCACCCTGCTACCCCGCACATCCCCCCACCGCCCCTCCCGCCTCCGCCTCCCGCGCCTGGCCTCCTTCCCCCCCTGCCCCGCCTCCATCTTCTTCCCCTCCTCCAGCAGGCGGATGCCCAGTTGGCGAGCGGAGGAGGGGCGGCCGATCTTGAGCAGGGAGCGGTGCAGGTGCTGCACCACAATGGCGGACGGCGAGATGAGCAGCTGTAGCTTCGCCACCCACTGCGCCACCGCAAACTGCCCCACTTCTGCGGCTGCGGGCACGCGGGGGCGTGTGAGGGGATAGCCGCGCGCGGTGGAGAGCTTGCAGATGTGTGCGAGGGAGCGCCCCAGGATCCACGCGTCGTCCACCCGGTTCGCCAGCCCCAACCACTGCTCCAGCCCACGCTGTTGCATACAACGGGGGGGGGGGGGGGAAGGGAGGGGGCGGGTTGGGACGGGGGTAGGGGGAGAGGGAGGGGAGAAGAGGGGGGCAAGTGAGAGGGTGGGGTATGAAGATGATTGCAAGTGGTCCCTCTAGTACACACATGTACATGTGGCTCCAAGGGGAGCACGGGCATGACGTTTGGGCCCAGCACAGAGCTGTCATCCCAAGGGCACAAGTGGTCCCAGGAGGAGCGCACCTCAATCCACGTCTCTTCACGCGCCAGCTGCAGCCACTGGTCGTCCAGCTCCGCCGCCTCCTCGTCCGCGCCCTCGCCCTCCTCCTCGCCCTTCCTGCGCCGCGGCCGCCGCTTGCGCGTGCCCATGTGCCCCTTCATGAGAGCAGCGGCCAGCTGCTGCAGGTCCTCCTTGCCCACCTGCGCGCACAGCCGCGCCAGGAACAGTCCCTTGGCCACCGCGCCCGTGTTGTGGCACCACACGTGGAACAGCGGGTACCGCCCCCCTTCAGGCGCCTTCTCCAACTTCTCCCTCGAATCCGCCTTGCCCACCCCGCCCTCCCCTCCCATCACCGCCCCCCCTCCTCCTCCCTGCACCACCTGCCCCGTACCCCCCCCTCCCCCGCCACCCCCTCCCGCGCCCTTCCCCCCATCTGCCCCGGGGGCAGGTCGGCCGTGCACGGTAGCAGCAGCGGTGGCAGCAGGTGTGAACTGCCAGCCGTCGGGGAGAGCAAGGCGGGCCTCAATATCGGGCATGCGGCCGCTGATGCGGTGCAGCACGTCCATGAGCATGTCCAGGTCCACGGAGAGCAGCTCGTCCACCTTCACAGCGCGGAACCACAGCAGGAAGAGGCTCTGCCAGTCCTCCCACGACAGCCGCACCACGTCCATGATCTCAAACACCCGCCGCACACCCGCCTCGCCCTGCAGGATGCCGCCCATCACAAACTGCGCCAGGGCTCGCAGGTCCGCCGGCTCACTGCCTGTGGCCAGCCACATGCCAAAGCCCTTGTCGTCGCCGCGCGCGCCGTCGCTGCCCCACCCGAACAGGTCGCCCTTCCTGCTCGCCTGCTTCTCCTGCTGCCCTGCACCCGCCTCGCGCCCCTTGCTGCCGGCGCCGGGCGCGGCCCTCTGCCTGGCCTCGCGCGTGTCACGGGGGTCCCAGGAGGGGTCAAACGAGAAGGCGCGCAGGAAGTCAGTGGACGTCATGGGGGGAGGCGGGCTCTCCACAGCATCATCCGCTTCCTCCGCTCCGCTCGCCGGCGTCGCACCCCCCGCGTCGTCCCCTGCGCCCTTCCCCCCCCCTGCTCCCCCACCCCCGCCTGCCTTGCCCTTGCTCTCCATCCAGAGGTAGTTGCACTCGCTCTCGGACTCGCACAGGGAGATCCACGCGCCCAGGTCCGCCACCAGCGCCTGGTACCGCGCCTTGCGCTCCTCCGACTCCGCCAGTAGCGCCGCCTCCTCCGCCTCACTCACCTTGCCCCCCTTGCCCCGCATTCGCCGCCACCGCCGCCAGCGCCGCTCCCACCCGATGGCAGGGCCCCTCTCGGGCTCCACGTCTAGGTCCAACCCATCCTCCTCGCGCCCTCCTGCCTTGCCCGCGCCGTCCTCACCCGCGTCCGGGTCGCGCTTGAGTTTGATGAAGACCTTGAGCAGCAGGCGCTGCCAGCGCAGCAGCCCACAGCGCTGGTCCAGGTACTGCAGCAGCTTCTCATCCACGCGCCGGATCTTCCTGCCGCCCAACCCCACCCCCGCCAGCACGCCCGCTGCTGCCGCCGCCTCCTTGGCTCGCCCGGGAGAGCCCTCCCTGCCCGCCCGCTCGCCCTCGCGACGCCCCTCACCCCTCCGTGCGCCCCTCTCGTAGTCGCCCTCCCTCTCCCTCATGATGCCCCTCTCCCTCTCCCTGTCTCTGTCCCTGTCCCTGTCCCTTTCTCGCTCCCTAAACCTCTCCCTATCCCTATCCCTTGTTCTGTAGCCATCCCTGTCCCTATCCCTGTCCCTCTCTCTGTCTCTGTCCCTGTCTCCCCTGTCCCTGTCCCTGTCCCTGTCTCTTTCTCTGTCCCTATATCTTTCCCTATCCCTATCCCTGTCTCTGTCCCTATCTCTATCTCTATCCCCCTCTCTGTCCCTCTCTCTATCTCTGTCCCTGACTCTATCCCTATCCCTGTCCCAGTCCCTATCCCGCTCCCTCTCCCTCTCCCTCGGCCTCTCCCTCTCCCTCTCTCTCTCTTGCACTGCGTCCTCTCCACCCCCACCGCTGTCGGCCTCCCCGCGCTGCCCCAGCCGATTCCACATGGCCAGCCCCCCTGACAGCAGGCTCGATGCACCCTCCAGCGCCGCCCTCCCCAGCCCGCCCTCCGCCCCCGCTGCCCCCACTCCCTCCTCCCCTTGCTGCGCCGCCTGCTGCTGTTGCCGCAGGGCGAGCTGCCTCTCGGTTTCGAGCAGGTGCTTGTTGTACACCACGCACTCCTCCACACACGTCAGCACATCCTCCATCACCGCCAGGTGGCACTTCTCAGGGAGCGCAGGGCGTGTGGCAATGAGCAGGTCCAGCACCTGCAGCTTGCGCACAGGGGAGGCGAGAGCGGCGGTGAGCTTGAGCAGCAGCACCTGCTCCTCCTCGTCGTCCGCGTCCTTCTTGCCCTCCCATCCAAACGAGCTCCGCATGCGCAGAGACAACCGCCCCTGCAGCTCCTCCTCCTCCTCGTCCACCTCCTCCTCCCCTTCCTCCTCCTCCTCATCTTCCTCCTCCCCTTCCTCCTCCCCTTCCTCCTCCTCCTCGCCATCCTTGGCTGTTGATTCCTTTAACCGGCTGCTCTTCCCCTCGCTCTTTCCCACACCGCCCGTCTGCCTCCCCTCCTCCCCATCAGCTTCCTCCGCGTCATCCCCTTCCAAACCCCCCTTGCTCCTTCTCCTCGCCAAGTCCTTCACATCCCTCTCCTCCTCCACCTCCTCCTCGTCCTCGCTCACCTCACTCAGCCCGCTCTTCTTACCGCGCTTCTTCTTCACCCCTTTGCCCGCGCCACTGACAGCAGCGGCAGCAGCGGCCTTGTGCTGCAGGTGGGTGAAGGCGGCGATGGCAGCAGCACGTGAGTTGCGCTTGAGCTTGAGCAGGTCGCACAGGCGCTGGAAGATGTCGCTCTCTGTCAGCGCGCCCCCTGCCCGAGTGTTCACGTCCGATGGCGTGTGGTGGCTGCCAGGTGAAGGGGGGGAGGGAGGCGGAGGAGGGGAGGGGAGGACAGGGGTGATATGGGAGTGGGAGGTGTGAGGTGGCGTGCAGGCTATTCCTATCCTTGGGTGCCTAACGCAGCACATGTGTGCATGCATGCATGGCTCTTGTGCCTTTAGGCACACGCAGTGGGTAAAGGAATGAGAGCACATGGAGGCTGAAGCCAAGTCATGAATTGACGGCGAGAGAGCTGGTGAGAGGAGGGAACACGTGTGATCTCACACACACAGCCACATGTGAACATCGCGATTCGAACGCACCTGCCCGTGAGCGGCACAGTTGGCACGATCTCTGACACCTGGCCTGTGTTGCCATGCAGGATGAACGCACGGTGCCGCTGCCCATACACGCCGTCCGCGCCCCCATGTGCGCCTGCGCTGGCAGAGCTGGCCGAGGAGGAGGAGCCGTGCAGGAGGGACGAGATGCCCTTGGAGATGTCCAGCGAGTGCGACGACGTGGGCGGTGCGTGCGGGTCGGGCGGGGGCGCGGTGTGCGGGGCGCCAATCACTGCTGCTGGCTGCAGCAGCCGGCTGTTGCTCGCACAGCGGAAGAGAGCGATGCGCGGACCCCCCACCATCTGCCACACCTGTGACCGGGAGAATGAGGGGGGTGGGGAGGAGGTAACGGGCGAGGAGGATAGTGAAGGCTGAGGAGGAGCACATATGAGAAGGACGCGAGGCGTTCAGCAGGAAAGATAGGCTATAAGGCGCGGAGAACAAGAGAGAACGCAGGGAGGGGGGCGAGGGAGGGAGGCGGGTGCCACTTACCTCAACGACCTCGCGGCGTGGGGCAAAGATGGCGAGGCACATGGCAAGGTTGCGCGGCTTGAGCACGAGCTGTAGGTGCACGTTGGGGGACGCGCCCCCCATGGATGTCATGCCCGCACTCACTATCGGCACCTCCAGGAACGCCAGCTCCGCCTCTCGGTACCCCTGCCACCACAGTGCACGACCATTGGCATGACGAGGGATGACGGAACATGCCTTTCACATGCCTTTCACATGCCTGTTTCATGCTCAATGGGAGGGGAAGGGGGTTGACAAGAGGAAAAGGGGAAAGGGGAAGAGTGGTGCACAGAGCAGCAGCGGCAGTGAGGGCTGACCTTCCACATGCGCACAACAGCGAAGATCTGCGAGTCCAGCACCATGACGCGCCCCAGGTTGTCAGCGATGGCCATGAGCGTGCCCCTGGGCGCCACTGCCAGGCGCGTGGCATGGCGCGAGTGGTCCTTGAGCGCTGCTACCACGCCCATGCTGCTGCCCACCTCCATCGCCCCCCGCGGCACCACCCGCTCCCTCCCCTCCTGCTCCTCTGCTCCGCCACCGCTGCCGCCACTGCTGCTGCTGCTGCTGCTGCTGCTGCCGCTGCTGGCGCGGCTGCTGGAGGAAGAGGAGGAGGAGGAGGAGGTGGTGGAGCGGGGGGAGGAGAAGTTGGAGCTGCTGCGCGAGAGAGAGTTCTGCACAGTGGGGGACGACGGCACGCTTTGCGCCTGAGCCTGCTGTGCGGGAGGCTGGGAGTGCGAGGAGGAGGAAGGGGTGTCGGGAATACGGGAGGTGGAGCGACGGGTGCGGGAGATGGAGCGAGAGAGGGCGGAGGCAGCAGAGGCAGCACGGGAGCGCACGTTGCTGGCGGCGTTCGTGGCGAGCTGCACCCACCCGCCCTGCTCTGTGGCGCTGTTAGGGCATGCGGGCAGGGGAGGGATGCAGCAGAGAGAGTTGCGAGAAATGTAGTGGCGAGGAATGTGCAGTGTGTGTTGTGCCATGGCGATGGGAAGCAGATGATGGAACGGGTGATGCAAGTAGGATGGAGTGAGGGGCAGAACCATGCATGCAGCAGGGAAGTGATGGTATGGGGTGAGGCTGAGGTACCATGGACCATACGAGTGGCGCAAAGGGCAGAGGCACTTAGCAATGGCAACTACTCACGCGAAGGCAGCGAGTGTGGGGTCCAGGCCCACGGCCACGATGCAGTATGACTGCTTGGGGGACTGCTCATGGCACACACACACACACACACACACACACACACACACACACACACACACACACACACACACACACACACACACACACAGGGGGGGTTGGGCATGCAGCAGCACAGGGGCAGTGACTCAGCGAGCACTGGGTTAAGCAATGTGAAGGAGAAGCAAGAACGGATAAGAAAGAGACATGGAAATGAAGCAGCAGTGTGGAGGTAAGAGGTGGTGGCAGGTACCTGCACTTGGAAGAGTGGCGAGGGGAAGGTGCCGGCAACAGCACCGTCGCTCCACTTGGTGGTGGCCCTCCCTGTGCGCCACTTCTTGAACGCCAGCGTCGACCCACTGCCGCCCTCCTCGTCTCGCCCGCCCTTGCGCCCCGCGCCCATGAAGCTGAGCGCAGAGGCGAAACCACGCGACACATTGGCGGCCACGGTGTCCTCCAGCTGGATCACACGCTGCTTCAGCACCGACTGCCAGCCACGTGCCGGGGAATGGTGGTGGGGGGGGGGGGGGATGGGGGAGAGGGGCGGAACACACAGGGTTGCAACGGGTTGCAGGGACGGGGTAATGGGGATAATGACGAGTGGGAGCGTGAGGTTGTGTGGCGTGTGGGAAAATGGAGACGGCATGTGGCGGTAGCCAAGGCAACCTGTCAACCACGCGGGCCAGCGCTCAGCGTAGCAGGTGGTGGGGTGGCGTGTGAATGTGAGGGAGGTGGCACGGGATGGGTGCATGGAGGGGAAGGGGAGGGCGCACCTGGAGCTGCACGGAGTTGATGACGCAGGTGGCGTTGCGTGTGATGGCGCACAGCTCCTGCGTGCCATCGTTGCGCACCATGCCCGCCTCCATGCCACGCACTCGCAGCCGCACCACCGCCTCCGTGTGCACCATCTGCTCTCCCTCCCACGCGCACACAGCACACAGTGGCGGCAACACAACACAGGTGAATCAGGGGAGACGATGGGGGTTGGGAGAGATGAGGTCCGATGGCATGCAAGGGGAACCGCGAGGCCATGCATCCAGACAGACAGATCATGTGCATCATGTTGTGCGGTGTGCGCTGGCACGCGAGTGATGGAGGAACGCGGGCAGGCGAGAGGAGGGGCGCACCTGCTTGGCGAGCAGCATGCCTGTCTCGGAGTACACGAGCACAAAGCCCAGCGCCGTGCCCACCGCCACACACATGAAGGCGCCAGGCGGGCGGTTGGGCGAGGCCAAGGCGGAGGTGGTGCGGTGGTTGAAGGCGGAAAAAGTGATCCACTCCAGGGCCGTTATGGCGTCGTCACTGTCACACGCCGGCCGCACACTCACTGGCTCCACTGGCCTGGCGTTGCCACGCATGCACCATGCACACACGCCACACGACAGGGAGAAGGAGGGCGGAGAGAGGGTGAGAGTGGGGGGGGGGGAGGGGGAGAGAAGAGGAGGTGGGGAACGAGGAAGAAACGAGCTCATAAGGACGTTGAGAGAGACTGTTGGTGAGAAAACAGAGAGGAAGACAAGTAGGAAAGGCAGGCAGGCGGCACACGCACGGGAGATCCGGAGCAGTGGCCCACGCACCTGCCATCGTGCGCGCCATGGCCGTCCGCAATGACGAGCGTGCTGCCCAGCGCCACTGCGATCAGCTCGCCATTCTCTGTCGCCGCCACTCGCACCTCCTCCTTCTCCAGCCAGCTCCCCATACTCAACCTCTCCCCCGACCCCTCCGCACCACCCCCAACTGCGCAACCAGCATCCCCGCCCTGGACCCCCCCCGCGCTGCTGCTGATAGCAGCCTCCGCCCCCCCTCCTGCCGGCCCGCCTTCTGGCGCGACTGTACCGGCGCTGGCGGGTGCGCCGGAGGCGGAAGAGGCTTTGGGGAGCCAGAAGGGGAGCATGGCGTTGGGATCGGCGGAAGGGTGCGCGGGGCCGTTGAGGTGGCGCACGATAACTTCCGCGGACACACTGCCCCATGGGCGCACCACCGTGGGGCGCGCTGAGAACAGCCGCGATTGGACGCGCGGATAACACAGGATAGGGGGAGGAGAAGGGAGGGGTGCGGGAGAAGCGCAATGGAAGGAAATGTGACACGGAAAATGGGTAAGGATGATGTACAAAGAAACTCGAAAAAAAGTAGCCGCCGGAGAGACGGCGGGAGACCCCACGCAGGAAAGGGATGAACAGATGCACACGCCGAAGTGATCGGCGGAAGAACAGATGCAGCACGCGGAGGGGACTACCGGGGAGCATTCAGGTCGAGCTCGTCATCAATCGGGTTAGAGAGCAGCGTGCGAGTATGGTAAGGCTCCAGCATGCCAGCGGTGTGCAGGCCCTGGCATTGGACCTGGACTCGTTTCTGAACCAGGCAATGTCGGCACAGACGTGACATCGCACGTGCCACAAATATGACGCAGATCTTTTCACATACTAGTCGCCACTTTTTTATTATTATTATTATTTTCATAAAAATACCGACGATTGAATATATGAATGCTTTTACACTCCCACGCCATCACCTGACTATTCCTCGACCCCTTATCAGCCGGCTGCACCTACTGAAAAGCGATATTAGCTTTTGAGAAAGTTGATGCACCAGAGAGATCGCAATTTGAAAGACTGGCCAGACTAGTGTCGCTGCAAGTGGTTCTACAAAGTCACGCCCAACAATGATAGAGGCGAGAACTGAACGAAAGCAAGGGCATTGCTGGTATGCCAGCGAGCATGACAGAGAGAAACCGAGAGAAATGGAGAAAGAGTCAGGACCCGGGGTGAAAATATCCTTCAGACGCACCTCGCCTCATGCTGGCCGGCATTTGAGCGAGTGGCTATTGGCTTCGGTAAACTAGAGTCCAATCTGCATGTGATGCATTGCTCCCTTCAACAACTTAGACATTGAAAGTTCCTAATCTGAGACCTGCTTCGGGTAAAAGAAGCTTCAACGAACAGAAACATTCGCGGGACAAGATTGTACCAAGGGCGTGCAGATTATGTACAAATCAAACTCTGCTGACTGTGATCACCAGTAATTGAAATGTTGACCTAATTAGGTCCTCCTGCTGGTGACTACGAGGCACAAGGCACTCGCCTCGCCACAGCTCGGGTCTGGTCTGGTGCCGTCGTTCCACAGGCACAAGAAGCAGTGAAGGAAGCGGGGTGAGGGGAGGGAACATGGGGGTGTAGTGCCCATTTATTCAGAGTGCTGCATTCCGATTTACCCTAACCAAATCAAACGTTTTGTTACCGCTCGGCTAAACCGACCGTGGGATCCTTCGAAACCCTGCTCCGATTATAGTTTTGCGTTACGTCAGCTTCAGTGCAATTTTCCTGCTATGAATATATTTCAAAACTTAAACGTGGGCTGTTGTTCTACTGGTTCCATCATCCACCAGTATTCTGTGTGTCCACCTTCAAATCTACCAAAACTGTCAGAATTCTAGTTAGGTGCTTGAACATCCTCGACGGATGCTGGAGAACGGCATGTTCGTGCTGACTCGTGCACTTCTGTTGTGTGGCTCGTTTCACTCTTCCCTCCCAGAAGAGTTCGGGAGAGCTGCGTTCACGCATTTGATTGTAGCAATGAAGCAGTGTCTTAGTAATTTTTCGAGGAAACCACAATCGTAGGGTTGGTCTGAGGCACACCATCAGAAGTACCTGGCATTGATTAGTCCTGACCCTACTCAAATGTTCTGATTGTAACCAGGATTAGACAAGAGTCTTTTGGAAAATACAAAGGCCTGCTCAGTGGTGGTCAGGTACGGCATCCGCGTGTGGATGAGCTCGAGGCTTGCTTCCAGCTGCTTCGTGGTCAGGTCCGAGGACGAAGCGGGGAGAAAAGCACCTTGGGGACTAGGTTCGGCCACAATGTGTCATCTTCTATTTGGTTCGGCAAGGCTGGGCCGAGAACGCTGAAAAACACCTGAACGATGACCAGCTGCACGAACGAACGTGAATGTCGCCGTTGTTGGGCGTGACCGCAAGTGTGAGGGTGCACTTTTTCCACAGTTCTAATGTAGATAGTGCTGTATGTCCATTTTCCAAGTACATATCATTTCCAAATTTTAAAGCAACAAGCACAACATAGTATCGTTGTGAAAACATTATACCACATTACATAATAATTTAACTTATTTAACATGTAAAAATACTATTTCACTAGTGTAATATAATTATAGTGGAATAGCAATTATGGCATGTACAAAATGCACTATTGACTTCTAGAGTTGGATCATTCAAATTTTGCGTTTGTCATCATCATCCTTTGTGGTACACGCTGTGACGCTTTTTAGGTCGCTTGTGTGGACTGACAGGGGTGGGGTTGTCGGCGGTGGGAAGCGAATGGGGATGGCGGTCCACATTTTCCCGCGCCTTTCCCGTGTCGTGCTTTTTATGTGTCAGAAAACATCGGGGCGACAACAAGGGGAGGGAGGGGCGAGGGAGGGAGTCATCATTCGGAGTTTGGGCCGACCTGGTGGGCGCAGGGGGCAGAGAGGGATGAGGGGATCGCGAATGTTGATCGCTGACAAGGCGACATTTTTACCCAACTCGAATTGCATTTTCTATCGCTGCCGAGAGTGTATCCGCAGGTGCTTGTAGACCCCTTCTGCGGAGCTACGATTTAGGTGCTGCTGGACATTTGGGTCCTCGTAGCTTATAACTCCAGTTCGACCGTCGTCCAATCGTATTGGTTAACGAAGCTGCAATGCCCGTTTAGGACCATGGCGCCCCTTGTAAGAATAGGAGGTTTCGAAACGTTGCGTAGAGCGCCTGTTAGCAGCACAGGCCGTAACCTTCTTCTGATTCGGCACCTCCGCACACCGCTTCAGCTTCTGTTCGTTACGTTCTTGTTACTACTGTTGCCCGCACCCACGCCCGCGTTTCACGCGAGCAACCGCATCGCTGCAGCCGTGGACTCGAATGGCCTCTCACCATCCAACCCGCGCACTCCCTCTTCCTCCGCTGCGCCACCTGATACCGCCACACAGCCGACGCTCCTCGGTTCTCATCGGCCGTTGGGGGAGGCCACTCAGGGGGAGGCCATTCGGAGAGATGCCACACGAGGGGAAGCCACACGGGGGGAAGCCACACGGGGGGAAGCCACACAGGGGGGAGCCATACGGGGGAAAGCCACGCGTGACGTAGAAGTGCGCGATGCTGCGAGCGATGGGGGGTTACGGCAAGAGGCGGAGACGCGGGAAGCGTTTCCGCCATGCAGCAGCGTGCCGCGGCCGCGCTGGTGGCTGCTGGGCGCGCTGGCTCGTGCGGCCGCGGAGGCCTTCAACGCCACCTCGCCGCTCGCCGCCATGGAACGGCGTCCCGCTCGCGCCGCCGCTACCGCCCGCCCTCCCTCTCTGCGCCCCGCCGCTGATCTGCCTCTCGTCGTCGCGATGGCCGGCGACTTTCTCGCCGGGAACTTGAGTGCGAGTCGGGAAAGGAAGCGCGTGTGGCGCAGTGGTAGGATGAACCCGTTTCTGCGGAGCAGCAGAAGCATGCTGTCAACAGCCCAGCGCCGCCCTCCGCCACCCGCTGCTCGACGCACGCCCGCTCGAAGAACCCCCTCCCTGCCGCCGCCCGCTGCTAAGAAGCAGGCGCCGCTACCCGAGATCACCTCGCGGTCCCCCGGTAAGAGCACTGGCGGGTCGCCGGGGAGGAAAGCTGAGAACCAGCCGAATGCGCCGCCGCCACCGGCTAAGAAGGGCCGGAAGAAGAAGCTTGCGTCTCCGCCGCCGCCGCCACCGCGCAAAAAGGGCAGAAAAAAACGACCGCCACCGCCATTACCGCCCACCGCTCAAAGGCCCCCGAAAAAGAAACCTCCCACCGCCCCGTCGCCGCCCCCACCTAGAGGCTCCCGCAATCCCGCGCAAAAGCCCCCTAGGAGCCCTCCCCCTCCCCGTCCCCCTCGTCCCCCCAGTCCCCCTCCGCCTTCTCCTCCTCAGCCGCCCAGGCCTCCTCCTTCACCCCCATCTCCCCCCGCGCCCCCTTCTCCGCCGCCGTTCGGCGTACAGTCCCCCGACTGCCAGTACGGCGCGGAGAAGTCGCTGGCGGAATGCGCGATGGGGTACGCGGGCGCGGCGGGTGTGCGCGGGGCGCAGGCGCTGGGGCTGACGCGGTACACGGTGGACAGCGAGTTCGACACGCTGGACGGGTCGCAGATGGCGGTGGGCACGCTGCGGTGGGCCGTGACGTACCTGCGCGAGGGCGCGTACATCCAGTTCGCGCGCAGCATGCAGATCGTGCTGCAGGGCAGCCTGTACGTGCGGTCGCGCACGACGATCGACGGGCAGGGCTTCCACGTGCGGCTGAGCAACGGCACGCTGCTGCTGCAGAACGCCGTCGACGTCATCGTGCACAACGTCGAGGGTGAGCACGCACGCCGTCTTGTGCATACCATGGCGGGTGTGCAGTGCAGAAGGCGGCCGAGGGGGATGGAGACGGTGTGAGGGAGTGGAGGGACGTGGTGGTGATGCTGAGAAGTGGAAGGGGCGGAGGTGGAAGCAATGATGCGACTCTTGGAGTGCTGTCATGTGTGCATTTGCCATCTCATACCCGCACGAACATGCAAGACATGCCCATTGCTGGCCTCTCGTTGATGTCCATGTCCTCATCCCTTGCCCTCCCCTTGCCCTTCCGCCCCGCCTTCACCCCTCTCCCTCTCGCTCGTACGTGATGTACTGGCATGGTGGGCAGTGAGCGGTGCGGCGAGCAACCTGATAATGGTGTACAACAGCAGCAAGGTGTGGGTGGACCACTGCCGCCTCGTGGACGGGCGCACGGGCACCGTGGACGTGGGCAAGGGCAGCACGGACGTCACCATCTCCAACTGCTACATCAGCAGCCCCACGCCCACCATGCAGGTGCGCCCCTCGCCTTGCGCTGCGTGTGCACCAGGTACTGGTTAATGGGAAGGGGGGGGATGGACGTGCACATGTGGAAGGGAGTTTGTGCGGTGTGGCAGGTGGCACATATCCATTAGTGCAGCCCTGCAAACATATACACACACACGCCCGCACTCGTGCGCAAGGTGCATCAAATGACCACGTGGCACTGCCCCACCACTCACTTACCATACCCTTCAACCCGCATCCCTTTCCCCCCTCTCTCTCGCCCCACATACCAGCTCCTGCCGCTGCCCACTGCAGCTGGGGCTGTCAGACGGAGAGGAGGCGGATCGCATGATGCGCGTGACGCTGTACCGCAATTGGTTTGACTCCTCCTACACCATGCAGCCGCTGTGCCGCAAGGGCTCCTGCCACGTCGCCTCCAACCTCTACACGCGCTGGACGTCCTTCTGCCTCGCGGCGCGCAGGGGCGCAGTCGTGCGGTCGGAGAAGAACGTGTTCCGCGCTGACCCTGTGGGCGGGCGGGCGGAGGTGACACCGTGGTACAATGGCATGCTGCCCACGGACAGCAACTATGACACCACTGCCACCATCCGCTCCCTGGACGACTTGCTGCTTGGAGGTGCCACGTTCCACCAGTGGGTGGGGGCCAATGCGCTCTTCACGCCGCCCTACTACCTGCCGTTCTTCCGCAACACGCGCCTGCTGGAGGCTTTTCTCATGGTCAACTGCGGGCCCAAGTACGACACAGTTGTCGCTCTCCCCCCTGCCTCTCCCCCGCCCTCCCCACCACCATCACCCCCACCTCCTCCCCCATCCCCTCCCCCGCCACCATACGTCCCGCCCCCACCCATCCCCCCGCCACCCCCTCCGCCATCGCCCCCTCCAGCGCCGCCCCCGTCGTCATCGGACTGCCAGTACACCCCGGCGGCGTATGGCGCGGGCATAGTGGGGTGCGCCATGGGGTATGCGGTGGGGGATCAAGGCACGGGGCTAGCGGGTATAGCGGCGGTGCCCGAGTACGTGGTGACACTGGATGACGACGTGGCGAGCAGCAGCCGCTAGGGGTCGCTGCGGTGGGGCGTGGCCAACTTCAAGGGTGGCGTGCGCATCTCCTTTGCGCGTTCCATGACCATCCGCCTGGCCGCTGTGCTGTATGTCAAGTCCAACATGATGATTGACGGCAGGGGCGTGCGCGTGATGCTCACGGGCGACAGCATTGTGGTGGTGCACTCGTCGCAGGTCGTGCTGCACAACATTGAATGTGAGTGCCATCGTTGTTAAAAAGCAGGGGAAAGGCTAGCAGGCCAGTGTGATATTTCAATATCCTCTGGATCCTCATGCAGTACTGCCCCACTACAGCCATGAACGGTGTTTTCCCACCCTATCTTCGCCCATTCACGCCATGTTGCACAGTGACTAGAGCAAAGCGCAAGTCCGTGGATTGTAACGCCCTCTTCTGGTGCATGTGGTTCTTCCTATCTCCCCCCCACCACTGCCATGCCACGCTCCCAGCAGCACTGCGCACGTGGTGCTGTACAACAGCACCACCGTGTGGCTGGACCACTGCCGCTTCTCCAACATCTCCAAGGCCGCACTCGACGTCTCACGCCTCTCCTCCGCTGTCACCGTCTCCAACTGCCACTTCACCCCGGGAGCTCCCTCCTCCGCTGCGGTGCTGCTGGGCAGCAGCGACAGCGACACCTCCTTGGCCTCTCTCACCGCCACACTCTACCGTAACTGGTTTGACCGTGCCCCGCCCGGCCAGCCCGTGTGCCGGCGCGGCAGCTGCCACGTGGCGAGCAACCTGATGAGCGCGTGGGCAGGGGCGGCCATGGATGCGCGTGTGGGAGGGCAGGTGCTGCTTGAGAACACCCTCCTCTCCTCTGGCGCTGCCTCACAGGCTGTGGTGGCTGCTGCTGCCACGAACCCTACCGGCACCGTGGTATCCGTGGGCAGTGTGCTGATGGGCGCTGCCGTGTGGGGCCGTGTGGCAGCACCAGGCACCCCCACCTTCACTCCTACGTACTCCTTGCCTTCGTCTTCTCCAGACGCCAAGTTTGCCCAGTTCTTAAAGCTCGCGTCTCAAATTTCACCCTTCCGACCAAGTGTTAAACGCTTGGGATCCGGTAACAGCTGGGTTTGTCGCAAAGCACACCAAGGCAAGGGGTGGTTTGGGAAGGTTGGTTGGGAGAGGTTTGAAACAGGGCCTCGTTCCAGGCAAAACCAAACCAAAGGGAAACAACGTGTTGCAAAGTTGGTTGGGACAGGAATACGACAACGCAGGTTGGGAAACACACCTGCACGAACCAATCTACAGGTGTACAGAAAAACGTGCGACAACAGAGGCATCGTCGCACACTTCCCCGTGCAAACCAAGCATTTACAGCTCTCAGAATTATGAGACTCAGAACTCTCAACTTTGACAAAACGGTTCGTGTAGGCACCAGTTCAAGTGTTTTACCAGCCATATGCCACGTCTTTTAGTATAGCTAGCCTTGAAAACTCAGTCGCGATCATGATGTAGGGGAAACCGTGCGCCTATAGACCTTGGCGCATTCCGTGACCCGCATTCTCTAAGCCCGAACACGGGAAAATCATCAAATTTAGCGTGTCCAATCCCCACCTTCGTCCTCTCCTCGCCAAAAACTGCCGGCGTGGGGTTCATCGCCATTCATCAACCGCCCTTATTAGGTGAAAGGGGAAGGTCGCAGTAGCATGAAGGGTGGAAAGGACGATAGGGACGAGCCAAACGCGGCAAACGCGGCAATGGGGCGATATCACCGAAGTCGCGGGACTAAGGCCCGCCGAGACGCGGGAAAGGTGTGTACCCTGCCGGTGAGCGCGCGCACACCTCCCTTCAAGGGGCGCGCACCCAGCTGTAAGCAGCGCGCACACCGCAAGCAGCTGAGTGCGCCCCGCTGTAGGCATCACGCGCCACCTGAGCCTCAGCGCTCGCCCCGCTATAGGCATGAGGCGCCTCTTTAGCATCAGCGCGAATGCGCCTGTAATCTCACGCGCCATTCGTCACGTAATCGCGCATGGTGCGGGTATGTCAAGCACTACATGAGAGGGGGGAGGAGGAGAGGACAGAGGGGGGGAGAAGGTGCGCTGAGAGGGGGGAGGAGGAGAGGACAGAGGGGGGGAGAAGGTGCGCTGAGAGGGGGGGAGACCCGGTGCTACCCCTCCTATCCCCCCCTGCTTCTCCTCCTTTCCCCCCGGTGCTACCCCTCCTTCCCTGCTTCCCCCCATCCCCTTCCCTGCTTCCCCCCATCCCCTCCCCTTCTTCCCCCCATCCCCTTCCCAGCTTCCCCCCATCCCCTTCCCTGCTTCCCCCCATCCCCTTTCCTGCTTCCCCCCATCCCCTGGCACCCGCACTCTCACTCTCCTTTCCTCCCGCACTCTCTCTCTCCGTCCTCTCCCACTCGCACTCTCCTTCCCCCCACCCTCTGCCCAGTTGTCACCTGCCCTCCCAATGCCTGCCTTTCCCTCCCTGCCCTGCGCTTTCCTTCCCCATCCCTTCTCAACCCTTCCCTTCCTTTTCATGCCCTCCCCTTCCCCCTCACTCCTCACCTTCCACCCTCTAGTTCCCATGCACGTGCACCCATCACTGTCTCCCCATACATTATTTCATCATGTGCGCTTGCTTGTGTTCCCTTGCAGTTGTTCCCTTGGCACCTCACACCACCTCCCCCATGTTCATTCACACAATTCTTTCTGCCTACTCCACTCCCCTAATTTTCAGTGGTGAAGCAGAAGAGCAAGCTGAGGCGCAGCTAAAGCTAGTCCATGCTTTACACCGTACCACCACCTGTTTCTTGTGTGTTGTATGCAATCATGTTCTGCGGGGGGGAAGGAGGAGAGGACAGAGGGGGGAAGGAAGGGTGATATACCAGTTTGCGATAAATTCCCCTAATTTCCCCCCAATCCCCCCTCCGCTCCCTCTCATTCCCCCCTCTGCTCCCTGTCATTCCCCCCCCCCCTGCTCCCTCTCATTCCCCCCTCTGCTCCCTCTCATTCCCCCCTCTGCTCCCTCTCATTCCCCCCTCTGCTCCCTATCATCCCCCCCCCCCCCCCTGTTCCCTCTCATTCCCCCCTCCGCTCCCTCTCATTCCCCCCTCTGCTCCCTCTCATTCCCCCCTCTGCTCCCTATCATCCCCCCCCCCCTGTTCCCTCTCATTCCCCCCTCTGCTCCCTGTCATTCCCCCCCCCCTGTTCCCTCTCATTCCCCCCTCTGCTCCCTCTCATTCCCCCCTCTGCTCCCTCTTATTCCCCCCTCTGCTCCCTGTTATCCCCCCCTCCGCTCCCCATAAATTACAGCTCTGCTTTCCCATCAATTCCCCTACTGCACCAGGTCAATACAGAACCCCCTCTGCTATAAAATAATTTCCCCTTGTGCTCCCCATCAATTTACTCACTCCTTCCCCTCATTTCCCCCTTTCCCTCCCCTCCTTTTCAGCCTCCCTCTTCTCCAGCTGCTTCAGCCTTGACACTCAGGATTTTGTCAGAACTGGTCCGCCACGCATGAATTTTGTTAAGCTTTAGCTATTAAATAGTACCGGTTTGACAAGTACCCATGACATGTATCAATGTTGGATGCTTCTTTATAAAAATCACTTCAGTGTTTAGGATACTGAACTGAGCCATTCAGTTGATCACTACAAAGAAGTGCAACAAAGGTTTCCAGACAAGTCACCTTGCCTTCCAGACACAGCAGGTGCAGCAGAGGCAGCGAGGGAGGAGGGCAGGCCATAGCTGCCCTGGCGCCACCCACCCCCCACCTGCACCACACGCATCGCCTCATACCCCGCCACTGCCCACTCCCCCTGCACGCCCTGACTCGAACCAACTGCGCCCCCCACTGCCTTCTCGCCTCCACTGCCAGCATCTGCATCAGCAGGCTTTGTGTGTGGCGGCAGTGGCAGGAGGGCTGTTGCTTGTGTGCGACCAGGTGCGATGGCGGAGAGGGACGTCCACAAGCAGATGGACGAGAGGGCGTATGGCGGCGTGAAGGCGGGTGGGGGTGGTGAGGTGAGGGTGAAGGAGGGGGGAGTGGCTGGTAGCAGCGGCTGCAGATTCCACTGCACAAATGGGTTCAGAGCGGTGCAGTTGGTGTACGGCTCTCCTGAGGGAGAAGGATGGGGACAGGAGGGCAGGAAGAGGGATGGGGTAGAGTGGAGATGAGAGGGGAAAGGGGAGACAAGATGAGCACTCAGAAATAGAGCACAGAATCAAGGCAGAGGGTAATCAAGTGGAGGCGAGGAGGCGGGCAGCGAGCAGCAGCGAGTGGCCCACAAGCGCTACTGAAGCATCCACCCTGCTTCATCCCCACCTCTCACCTTCCCCACTGCCCTGGGAGCGGCTCTATAACCCCCCCCTCCCGCCCCTTCCCACTGCTCAGCACCCTGTCCTCCTTGTGTTCTGCCACTAAGCAGTGGCAGCAGGCAATCATACATCATGGTGATAATCAAGCACAAGGAATTCACCCACTCAGCTCGCACCCACACCACCATCCTTCCAAAACCCATGCCCCCTCTCCCCTCCTTGGCCTGCCCGCCGCGCATGCTCCTCCCACACTATCTGAACCGCCTTGGGGTTGGCCCCCGCTGCTTCTACCTCTGCTGGCTCTATTCCCTGGTGTGCAAGTCATCTCACTGCCTCCCACTGCTGCTTGGTCACTGCATTGTGTAATGGAGTCCCTGGGGGAGGGCAGAGGGCGGAGGGCAGAGAGCGGGGGGCGGATGGTGGATGAGAGAAGGCGGAGGGATACAAAGAGGAGGAAAGCGGCTCTGGAAGCAGATGCAGAGCCAGAGCAATTCAAGCGGGGTGCAGAGGGCACCGCAGGGTAGAGCGCATGAAGGCAAGAGGGCTAAGAAGCTGGGTGGAGAAAGAAACAAGCGAAGCACTTTCTACCGTTCTTGCATTGAACCAATCATGGCACTCACAGCCGCAAGGCACTCACAGCCGCCAGGCACGCACAGCCGCCAGCAGGCACATGCAGTCCACGTGGCCGCCATACGCCGCCACGTGCAGTGGCGTGGTGGCGTTGCGCGTGCTGCACACCCCCGCTGGCATGCCCATGCGCAACAGCGCCTGCAGCTGCAGGCACATGCATGGGAGAACGGCGGGGAGGGAGAGAAGCGGGCAGCAGGGTGAGTGCGGTCCATGCCTGCGACATTATTGAAGGTGCATGTGAGTGCAGGCACGTGGACGGGGAGGGATGAGTGCACACGCGTGATGGACGGTGGGTTCAGAGAGTGTTGAGCGGGCTGCATGGCTGTGCTGCATGGGTGAGAGCTGGTGCATGGCTGTGCTGCATGGGTGCAGGCGGGGAGGCAGGTGAGACTGACCACGGGGGAGTCACCATTCCGAGCAGCCACATGCATGGCGGTCCAGCCCCACTTGTCCACCACGCCACTCAGCCCCTCTGCTGACTCCACCCCGCATGCCCGCACCACATGCCACAGCCCCTGCCCCTCCTCCTCCCCACCACCCTCACCACTAGTACATCCCCTCCCCCATGCACTCACCTCCCTGTCAAAAGGGACGACGTCTCTCTTCCCCCTCCTCGGGCAGCACCTGCTCTCCCCCTCCATTCCCCCTCCCCATCAACCCGCGCCTTATTCCGCCCACCCCTAATCTCCTTCCGCCCATCCCTGATCTCATTCCGCCCTTCCATAATCTCATTCCATCATAACTACTCGCATTTCGCCCATCCGCAATCTCATTCCGCTCTTCATACTCTCATCCCTCCCTTCTTAATCTCGTTCCGCCCTTGTTCCTCTCATTCCGCCCTTCTTCCTCTCATACCGCCCTTTTTCCTCTCATTCCGCCTTTCTTCCTCTCATTCCGCCTTTCTTCCTCTCATTCCGCACTTCTTCCTCTTATTCCGCCCTTCTTCCTCATTCCGCCCTTCGTCCTCTCTTTCCGTCCTTTTTCCTCTCCATCCGCCGTTCTTCCTCGCATTCCGCCCCTCGTTCTCTCATCGCGCCCTTCATCCTCTCATTCCGCCCTTCTGCCTCTCAATCCGCCCTTCTTCATCTCACACCGCCCTTCCTACCTGTTTTCGACGTTCCAAATCGCATTACGCAAACCCTAAACTCATTCCGCACATCCCTACTCTCATTCCGCCCGTAGTAGTCGCAATCTGCCCTTCCTAATCTCAATCCGCGTTTTCCACTCTAAATCCGCCCATCCCGTCTCTCATTCCCGATCAAGGAAGATGCTCTCATACTAATCGTAAACGGGGGAAATAATGCTTAGCTGGCTTTCTATTTCGGTGTTACTACGGCTCAGCGACGGGAGTATGGTTGCTTGGCGTGGGCACTCATTTTCTGACTTCACACTTCTGTCAACCTCAAAACGTGATTGCGTCGCCAGGGTGGGTCGCATAGTTCTCAATCAGACGCAAACCTGTCCCCCAAGGCTCGTCTTACACCCAAACCTGCCCACCCAGGTTTGTTTTGGCCTTGATTGTTGGGGAGTTCGCTGTGTTCTTTTCACCCGCTCGTGAAAACTTTCGTCATTCGTTACCCAATCACGGACGGGCAAACCCAACCAGGTGTTAAACCTTTGGAAATTTGAGACCCGAGCTTTAAGGAGCAATGCAGGGCCACATGAATGGTGACATTGCACCACTCTCTTCGTCCCTGATGGTTCGGGCCCCAGCGCTAAATATCTACGAAATTTGCACCCGTAGGAAACATATACATAGTTTACATGTAATTAATTTATAATGCTATGATTCTTATTCGCTTATAAACATTTGGTGCCAGCAGTTCTTAGACATTTCGCGTACGCTTGAATGGATGGAGTTTTGACTGTTGATTGGGTGCAAACATGCAACACAAACGCGTCCCTTGATTGTGCGAACCACACATTCAGGTCTCCTGCACATTCACTCGTATCTACAACACTAAGTGCTGGTGCCTACAGTCGCGCTGTGGCGTCGCCGTGTGCGGCGAGAGTTCAGCGACCGCCATGGCGAGCGATGAAGCGTGGACAGTCGTTTCCAAACGCCGCGCCTCGCGCGGAAGCCGCTCCAGCGATCCACGGCCCGGGGGCGCCGAAGGGCCCGTCGGGTGCGCCCCCGCGGAGTCGACCGGCGGGGCTTGCGCGGAGGTTTCGGGGAGTTCCGCGGATGAGCGGAAGGTGGAGCTTCCGGGGTGGAACGTGCGCGGGAATTGGGGGAACGAAGGGGAACGCGAGTGCGCCCCTCGGAGGCCAGGCGGTAAAGGCAAGGGGCGACGCGGCAGTGGCGCGGGCAATGAGGGGGAAAGCGAGGAGTCGCGAGTGACGGCGCGGATGGAGGAGGCGAGGTGAGAGCGGTGGGGAGGAGAGGATGGGGTATGGGGGATGGCATGTGCGGTGTGCCGTGCCAGCGCTCGTTCCCTGCTGCGCGCACCTCTCGACGCCCCCCTTTCTCTCCAGTGTCTCCTGACACCTCGCGCGCTCCTTCACCTGCTGTTGGCGATATGATGTTAACCTCCCCCCTCCTACCCTTCTTCACATCAGCCGCCCAAATAATGGCACCCCTGACACTCACAGCGCCCTTATCTCCCACCGTTTCAACCCCCTCGTTTGTGCTCATGGCATGTCATGGCATGTCATGGCATGGCGTGGCATGACGGCATGGCAGGCGCATGGTGCAGGAGTCGTCGTTCTACAGCAAGCTGAGAGGTGCGCCACCCCACCTCGTGGGGCCATAGCCCCTGCTCCCTCAGTGCACCCTCGCCCCCGCTGCTTCCACGCCCTGCCGCAACACGCATCTTGCTTCCAATCACCGTTCAGTCGCTTCCCCCACTACCCGTTACCACTGTTCCATCATGCACCCCGCTGCCACCCTCTTGCTTGCATCGCCGCCGCGGCTTTGAGCATGCTCGGCACGTGGGCCCTCTCCCCATTGCCGTTCCCATGGCCGCTGTGTGGTGGCGTGCACGTGCCTGCTTGTGCGCTCATGCATGATTGTGTGTGTGTGTGCATGTGTGTCTGTGTATGCATGCATGCATGTATGTGCATGTGTGGGGGGATCACATTCCTCAGACCAGATGGCATCACTGCGTGTAGCCCATCGCCTGCTGCCAGCGCATCCCCTCCCCGCTCCCTCCGCCATCTCCTCCCCTCCTCCCACCGCTCCCCCATCTGCTTCTGCTGCCAGCGCACCGGATCACCCACCCTCTCCGCCCACAGCACCTGCACACGGCCACGAGGGATGTCCTGTGGACAGAGTGGGGAAAGGGGAGGATTGTATGGGAGAGGGAGTGGGGGTGGAGGGAGAGGAAAGGGAGGGGGCAAAAGAGGGAGAGGAGGGTGTGATGGTGGAGGTGGTGGTGTACGGGGTGGGCAGCATCGCTCACTCACCCGTGGCGCGCTGTCAGATGGCCCTGGCCCTGCTGCTCGCACATGCCCTCCAGGTGCTGCCCCTGCTCCTGCCTCTCCGTGCAACCTGCCCCTTATCCTGCCATTTTTTCTTATCCCCTTCCCCTACCGCTGCTCTCAGCTGCGACCGTGTCACCACTGTCTGCCCCTACTGCCCTCGTGCTGTCTGCCCTATCGCGCTCTCAGCCCACCCCCTTCCCACCGTCCTGCCCCATCCACAGGAGGACCTCTCCCCGCTGTCCCAGCCCCCATGCCATCCCCGGGCCTCCCCGCCGCTACCCGCGCCCTCCACACATCCCCACCGCACGTCCCCTCCAACGCAGCCAGCCCTCCCTGCGTCACCGCCCTCACCCGTGCTCCAACCGCATGGTGCAATCCCCCATGCATGTGCGCACGCCCCCCGTGTGCGCGTGGGTGTGTTTGACCCCGTGCTCTCCCCCGCTGAGCTCTCCGCTCTCGCCCTGCTGGGCGTGCACTGCCTGCCCGCCAACGAGGTCCGTTGGGGGGGGGTCACCATGGAGAGGGGCGCGGGCAGAGGGGGAGACGGGTCAAGGAGGAGGGAAGGGGAAGATAATGAGAGGGAAGGGGAAGATAATGAGAGGGAAGGGGAAGATAATGAGAGGGAAGGGGAAGGCGAAGGGGAGGGGTAGGGAGAGGATGGGGTGTGTGAGAGAACGCAAGACTGACTAGGTGTTTGTTGCCCATGTGGTCATTACCATTCTGCTGTTGAAGGTCGCCGGGCACATGTTGCTCTTGTCAGCTGTGCGTCCTTGCATTGGTCTGTCCGGGCATTCACTCTGCTCTCTCTCCGGCGTGTATCCGTGTGACACCAGGAGGGGCGTCGCACGGTGGGGGTGCCAACGCTCTTTTACATGCCGCACTGCGAGGCGTTCCTCTACAACAACGTGCGCTGCTCCATACCCTCGCCCTCAACCTCACCACTCCACACCTCCTCTATTCTGACAAACCTTACGTCTTGCTCTATTGCCCCCTCCCTTTTTCCTACACACTTGCTTGCACTGCGGGTTGCATCGCATGCTCTTTACCATTGCTACGTTTCCAACTCTGCCTCCTCCCCGCCTCCCTGCCACCAGGTTCTCGAAGCCAATGCTTCTGCTCTCGGCTTCACCCCCACTCGTCCCATATCGCCCAGCGCCTCTCTCCCCCTCACACCGCCACTGCTCGAGGAAGAGCCTGCCCAGCTGCCTCCATCCTCCACTCCTCCCACTGCTGCAACAGTGGATCAAGTGCTCGGTGGCAGCATGAGAGAGTGCGCGCCGCTGGTGATTCTGGGCAACAGCTTTGCGTCGTATGAGGAGAGGTGCGCACTGCAGGGAGAGGTGCCTGGGGAGAGTCGAACCCAGCGGGGATGCTGGGGAGTATTACGAGCAGCATGTGCTGGCTTGCAGTTATCATGGTACCTGCTTATGCATGCCAGCTCACAGGTTTGGCATGCGTACTATGTGTATGGTGCATGCATACTATGTGTATGGTGCATGCAATGTGTGTGCAGGTGGAGTGTGGGTGCACAGCCATCCACGCCACGGCCAACCACTCTTCTTCAGGTGACCTCCCACACCTGCCTCGTCTCTCCGTCTGCATGCCTCAACCCTCACCAGAGCCACTCCACTGCATGCGCGCATGCACTCCCACGCCACTGCCACCTCATCCCTTCTCCTCATTCTGATTGCCCCCCTCATGCCCGCCTCTCTCCTTCTTCTGCGTCCATGCCCTGTGCTTCACTGCGCCACCTCCACTCATTCACACCATGTTCTGCACAACAATGCCCTCCTGCACCTCTCTTCCACGTGTGGCCCCAATGCGTCTCCATTGCCTCACTGCACAGTCCCTCACTCTCCACCTTTTACTCCTCACTATCCCATGCATGCCTGTCCCATGCGGTGTGGCAGGCGGTGCAGCGGGGAGTGGTGGAGGAGGTGCCTGTGGATGCCGCTGCTTTCCCCCTCATCTCCGCCTTCAATGACACCAGGCATGTCATGCACTCACTGCACACTCCATGCACCTCCTCATGCCATGCACACACGCACAAACATGCACACACACACGCCCATGCACACACGATAAAGCCTCACTCCATTCTCCTGTCCCGCGCCTCCCCTTACATTCCAGCTGGCACTTCTTGCATTACTGTCACAGCCACCACAAGCTGCTGCACAGTCAATCTTAGCCTGTTGAAGTTATACTCCATCTGCACCACCAATTGGTGTTAAAATCTTGCGGCGACCAGTACACAACTTGCTGCTCTATGCAGTGTACCTTGGGGCGCATGGGTCGAAAGGTGGAATCCGAGCTTTATGTTGTTTCCCTGAATTACTTGATTTGCTTGTTGATCTAGCACTGAATCATCTGTTGTACTGCATCAGATCAAACGTTTTTTCAATATCTGGCATCCGGAACTGAACTCTGTCTTTGATGATCCTCTTTGCAAAGATTGGCTAGCCCTGTCTCATGCAGTTTCAATCTCTTTTGGTCTGATGCTTTGCATAGTGGAATAAGGAACCTGTAAATAATGTAACAGGCTAGCCTGCTACAATACATCCCCCCTGCAACGTCCTCCCAGGTTTCGGTTCTTGCACAATTTTTTGCTGGACCATCGAGCCCAGGCAGTTACTGTACCATCAAACAATATCTGACTCTGCCCTGCCGTCATGCCTGCCGCAGTACATCCTGCGGTGGGCCTTGGGAGTGGCAGGTGGGGTGTTTGTTCCAGTGGTGCATGGCGAGCAGATGGACCAAATGACAAAATCCCCCCAGTGCGACAAATAGCTGTGGGGACAGAAACCGTCGCACCCACTCTCTGCTGTGGCCTGCCAAGCAACAAACCACCTGCGCCGATGACTATCATGCCTCCCATGCTATGCATTGCCAGGATTCACAGCGAGTGACTAGCTGGAAAGTAGGAGCGATTACGCCTCGTTCCTCAGCCTTCTTTCCCTGAAATCAAGCTCGTAGCCATGTGTTTCTCGCCAACTCGCGACGCGCTGTTCGCGGTGCCGTCCGACCTGTCCGACGTGTCCACCACCTCGCCCGAACGCCGTGACCTCCTCGTCCACTCTGATCCTCCCACACCCCCGCTACTCCCTGCGGTCTTCCCTCTGGAGCCACAGCGCATGCAGCGCGACGAGTCCTCTGCCAGCGACGCCCTTAATGCATCGCAAGCCGTGCCTTGGGAATCAGCAGCAGGCGACGCCAGAGACGCGGGTGCAGCATCGGCGTCGGCTGGTAGCCCTCTGGGTGCTTCCGGGCTTTCCATAAGACCGCTTTCTTTAGTACGCGGCGCGGATGCAGCAGGCGGTACATTCGCGCTGGCCGACCTCCCGGACTCGCTGCTCTGCAACGTGCTGCGCCACTTAAGGCCCCTCGACGTGCTGCGGGTCGCGCTCGTCTCCCGCGCATTTCGCGATGCCGCTACGGCCGAATCCGTGTGGGACGACAGGCTGCCCGAAAGTAAGGCTCTCCGGAAGTAGGATGGGGTGCTTGCGCGGAACGAGAACGGCCGTGCTGATGGCTGATGGTAGCAGCTGTGGAGACCGGATGTATAGACGCGAGAGACGCATCAACATCGCCGTGCGAGAGTGCAGATTAGGCGTTCCAGGCTCATGTTCACACTGCCATTGTCGCCCATGCCTTCCTCCAACCCCCTTGCCCTTCATTCGTCCCTCCTCTACAGGCCTGTCTCAGCTCGTACCGCAGCCAAACCCTTGCCGCCTCTCCTCCCGCCTCGCCTTCAGGTCAGTGCCATTGCTGCCGGAATTCCGCTTCAAAAGAGCTCCTCCACAGGCCAGTTCAGCCCTCCACATTATCCCCCTCGCCTCACACGCCGTGCGTGCCTCCCCGCTCCCCTTGCGCGTGGGCGCAGGGCGGTGTGCGAGGGCGTGCACGTGGACGAGGGGCGGCAGCGCCTGGCGCTGCACGCGGGCACGGGCGCCATGAGCCTGTGCGTGTCCGTGGCGCTGGCAGCGCGCTCCATGCAGGTGGACATCCGGCGCGGCGGCATGGTGCGCGACTGGCAGCGCGTCAGCGACGAGCCGCGCGCCCATTTCCACACGTCCGTGCTGCTGCGCCCTGTGGGGGGCTACCGCGTCGCTTCCACTCCCGATGGCATCGCTTTGCCACGCCAGCTGCCTGCAGGTGACACGTGCTGCACATGAGTTCAGAAGCATGCTGCTGTGGTTCCCAAAGCCAGGGTTTCAGGTGTGAGCACTCATTCCATGTTGATCTCCTGATCGTGTGTGGGCGTGGGTGTGTGAGTGCAGGGCGGTACTCCGTGGGGTGGCGAGTGAGGGCGCAGCACGTGGCGCCAGATCTGATGTTCCACGCCGACCCCACCTTCTCCTTTGACAACAGCTCTGCCATCTGGCGCCGCCACTGCCAACCGCTGACTGCCACGTGGCAGATCCTCAGTGTGGGAGACGTTCTGCTGCCATCAGCTGCTGGTGAGTGCCGCCGTCCCCAGGTTTCAAGATTGCCCCTCTTGTCATGGTTTGTGTGCACACCATTAATTCTGCTGCAGCGTGGTTCCTCACCACTGTGTCACCGTCCACCTGCTCTCAGTGTGCGCACATGTGTCACCCGTGTGCTGCCATATCTACATGCTTGCCTGTATGTCGCCCACAGAGCAACCGGGCAGTGACAGTCCCCAAGCGATGATGACAGTGGAGCTGCTGCAGCTGCAAGGGAAGGGATCGCAGCCACCTGTCGTGATCGACTGCATTGTCTTGCAGCAGCGCACGGGGTGATTCATGCCATTGGTGCAATATTTATGCAGCAAGCTACGTAGCATGCACCTAGGCAACAGAGGTGTGCTGGAATACCTTGTGTGCTGCATCTTGTAAAGCAGTTCTTCTCCATGGACACCCACTCCACTCCAGCCAGCCTCTATTCGTGGCAGCAACCTAGCCTGGAGGAGAGTGCCAAGCCTAATACAAGGCTGTCTGGTGTTGGGCTGAGAAAAGCCCTCAGGATCTTTGCAGGACTAAATTCTGAGTAGGACAATGTAATAGCGGAAGCGTTAAATAAAGACTTGTGAACCACCTTGCGCTAGTATGTGAGGGCAAAGTAGGTTGATAATAGCAAAGAGATACAAGCTTTTATAAGAATACAGGGGAATATGAAGGGTTATAACTAATAACCGTTTTACCATTGCTGTTGCGGTTCGATACAGTGACGACTCGGGCAACTGCTCAATGGCGAGTCAGTTGTTTGTCCTTGCTGTCGCGCTGTACTTGTCAGGTCAAAGGTCGCTGACCTTTGACTTTCGCGTAACCTCCAGCAATTGTTCAACCTCCGAGGGTTGACTCGCTGATGCTTCGATATGTTCTGCTTCGCTTCTGACTTGGTGTTTCGACACGACAGAGGCGCTTAAATCAATTGTTTCCAACACTCCCCTTCGCTTCTGGAGTGTCGCTGCTGGTGACGTGGCTCTGTCTAGTCAGCAGCATGCAGTACTCAAACTTCTGTTTTCCGAGTTTCTTGGTCAAGTAATCAGCTGCCATCTCGGACGTGGGACAGTAAGACAGCTCAAGTCTCCCCTTCTCGATCTCGTCTTTCACGAAGAAATATCGCAGGGCGATATGCTTCGTCCTGTTCGCGAATCCGTTTTTGTTGGCTATCCGAATTGCCGACTGGTTATCGCAGAACAGGGAGAAGCTGGGTAACTGAGCCAGCTTCGCCTCCTCCAGGAGTTCGCGAAGGTACAATCCTTCCTTGGTGGCTGAGCAGAGTGCGATATATTCTGCTTCGGCTGAGGAGAGAGCGATTAATTCCTGCTTACTCGACTGCCACGAGATAGATCCGATAGGCTCGAGGCGGTAGATGTAGCCTGTGCGCGAGCGCCTGTTGTCAGAATCTCCGGCGTGGTCGGCGTCGACGTAGCCGATTAATTTGAGCGTTGTAGTTTTGTTCTTGTAGTAGGTCAGGCCGATCGTTGGAGTGCTAACGAGGTAGTGAAGAGCACGGTCGAGTTCCGTCATGTGTTCAGCTTCAGGTCTTTTGAGGTAGGTGGCGAGTTGACTTGCGGATTATGATAGGTCCGGGCGGCAGGTGACAGCCGCAAAGAGAAGGCATCCCAGCTTCCTCTGGTAGTCGCGTATCTTGGCAGGCTTGAGTGGAGTGGAGTCTTCCTTGTGACTTCCTGCCGTGTAGCGGTATGGCGTGGAGATGGTAGTTGGCGTGAGTGAAAAGCGTTTGGCAATGGTGTCGGTATATTTTGCGGCGTTGAGGTAGATCGCACTTTCTCCTTCCTGGATGTTGAGGCCGAGGTACTGCGTGACGGTAGATGAGACTGTGAGTGTGAGATCTTTCTGTAACTCCCCTTCGAACCAGGTAGTGACGCTGTCGGTCGACCCGATGTAGAGTAGATCGTCTACGTAGACGATTAGTAGAATATAGTCGTCGCCTTTCGTGAAGTTGTGCAGCATGACGGCGTGGTCCATCGCCTCAGGCCATTGGTGATTGGGCAGTCGCATGCCACGCAGTAATTTGCGCATGGTGTTCTGGAGAGTTCGATTCATCCGTTCTGCCACGCCTTGCTGTTGATGGGCGTAGGGAAGCGAGATGAGCCTCTTGATTCCTCTTTCTGCCAAGTACTGCTTGAACCTCTGTGAGGTGTATTCTCCTCCTCCGTCTGACTGGAAGCTTTTTAGTTTCACGCCTGATTCTCGTTCTGCTACTGGGAGCCAAGTGACGAAGGCCTCGAAAGCCATGTCCTTGCTCGAAAGGTTAAGGTGCCAAACGTAACGCGTAGCGGCATCGATGAACGTGATGGTGTAGCTGTATGCTCCTTGTCCAGGTTCGCGATTGTACAGGATGTCGCTGTACACTTTCTCAAGTGGTGCGTAAGTTGGTGCGCTGGGGTTGTGGTGAGAAGTGAATGGCCGATGTGGTAAGTCAGCTTCGGGGCAGGTAAAGCACGTTCCACGCGCTCGTCAAAGTTCGCTTCCATCGGTTAGGAGCAGTGAATCTTTGTCGAGGACTCCTGCTCTGATTGTGTTGTTTAACACCGTGTTGCTTGGATGTCCCATTCGTGCGTGCCAGATGCCTTCGCTAACGCGATGTCCGGGTGAGCGACGATACAAGTCGGAGTTGGAGTAGAAGCTTGCGGTGAAGTTTGCACTTCGATGTACTTCTCGTGGTGTTGGGTTAAGCTGTTGCGCAGGAGTCGGTGGAGTGTCGTCGATTTGAGCCGATGCAGTTGAAGGACCAGCGATTGGTGTCGATGTTGCTGCTGCTGCTGCCGTTGTTTCTGCTGTTGCCGATGTGGTCTCTGCTGCTGCCGATGTTGTCTCTGCTGCTGTTGGTGTTGTCTTTGCTGCTGCCGAGTGTTGAATTGTTGCTAATGCTCTTGTTCGTTCTGTCTCAGGGATGGTGTGCGAGTACCAGAAGCCTTCTGGACTGAAGTCGGGGTCGAGATCCGGTGGATGTGTCCAGGAGGTGAAAGTGACAATCCCGTCGCTGTCAGCGGTGCCAAGATCTGGGACAAAGTCGAGAACGAAGACGTTGTTTTTCAGGACCGCCTTCCCGATGTAGATGTGAGAAAGATAGACGAAAGAATGGATGAACTAGAAAATGAGATGGGTACAATTAGGAAACACATAAGTGTTGTACCCTCTAAGAGCTACCCCACTACAGCCTAAATAGACCATAGCAGATATAAGTTTGACACACCCCCATAGGCAAAGTGGGGGAGAACAAGAGGTCACAAGACCAGTCAAGAAAAGCAAAGCAAGCTCAGGGTGGATCACAAAGTCACCACACAGTCTGAGCACAAGCAAAGGGCCATAAGGCCAGTTCACATGCAAAGTTATATAAAGGAAAGCAAACAGTACAGTGAACACAACCTAGCAAGTGTAAGCATGCAGGTATATGTATATAGAGTACAGTACAAGCAGAGTCAAGAAGTCAACAAGTGAGGCACAGTAGGTACAAGGCCTAACACAGTACAGAAACGCTGATGATCACAAGGCTGAAGTGCCTTGGTGAAAACATCAGCCGTGTTGGCCTGAGAGGCCACGTACGTAAGACGAAGCTGGCCACGCTGCTGCAACTCTCGAGCAAGGAAGTAGCGCAGAGCAATGTGCTTCGTTCTGTGCTCCAGTCTGTGCTCTTGATACAAGGCCAGCATGGCCTTGTTGTCGACGTACAGAACTGGAGGAGAACGAGGCGCCTCTCCCAAGTCGGCCAGCAGGTAGGTGAGCCAGCGAAGCTCCTGTGCAGCCATGGCCCCAGCGTAGATCTCAGCCTCACAACTGGAGCTGAGAACAGAAGAAGAGCGGGTAGACCGCCAGGAGACAGAACCGGAGCCAAGGCTGAATGTGTAACCCTGTGACGACCGCTGCGTAGCCAAGTCGTCAACCCAGGAGGCGTCAGCGTGACCAGTGAGGACAACTCGAGCCCGTCCTCCAAGCACAAGCCCCATGCCCGATGTACTGCACAAGTATCGCAACACCCTCTTTGCAGCATCCCAGTGCACCTTTTGGTGCCTGCCGGGAGCCACGTAGCGAGCCAGAAGGCTGAGAGGGTATGCAAGGTCAGGTCGTGTGCAAGTCATCAGGTACATGAGGCAGCCCACAAGCTCTGGATACGGGCCACTCGGCTCTACGGACTCGTCCGAAGGTGGAGCTGAGAGCGAGTGACCGGTAGGCAGAGGAGTGGACTGTGGCGAGGAGTAGGTGAAGCCGAAGCGCTGAAGGACCTGCTGCACCATGTGTGACTGAGTCAAGGTAATGGTGCGCTGTGCTCTGTCCCGGGTGATCCGCAAGCCAAGATAGCTTGTGAGCTCACCCAGGTCTGTGCACGTGTGTCTCTTCTGCAGCTCGGACTTCACGTGGGCGAGTGCCTCCGTGTCAGCAGTAGCAAAGACAAGGTCGTCTACGTACACAAGAACGTAGAACGGCGGCAGAGTAGCGTCAGTGCGTAGAAACAGAGAAGGGTCAGCAGTGGAAGGAGCAAAACCAAGAGCAGCAAGAGTCGTCCTGAGCGTGTCGTGCCACTCACGGGGCGCCTGGCGGAGACCGTAGACTGGCCGCCGGAGGCTCCACTGGGTACCAGCAGGAAACGACCCAGTGAAGCCAGGTGGGCGGCGCAGCCAGATCTCCTCGTGCAGGCTGCCCTGTAGGAAGGCTGTGCTGAAGTCAAGCGAGTGGAGCTCGTAGTCACGCTGAGCAGCAACGTGCAGCAGTACCCGAAGAGTGGTCATCTTCGGGGTAGGGGAGAAGGTCTGAAAGAAGTCAACTCCCTGTCGCTGATTGAAGCCACGTGCAACGTAACGCGCCTTTAAGGCAGGCGGAGAACCCGGCGGCCGCTTCACCCTGAAGATCCACATGCCACTGACGATGTTCGCCCCAGGTGGGGGAACCTCGTCTACGTAGGTGCCTGTGGACTTCCAGGAAGCCATCTCTGCGTCCATGGCGGCCTGCCACTGAGAGGAGTAGGGACCCTCTATCGCCTCTGCGTAAGAGCGCGGGGTCGGGATGTCTAGTGCATCCGGGTCTCCCTCAGGGGCAAGCAGCATGGACACGAGATGAGGTGAAGCAACAGCAAAACACTCAAGGTCCTCCTGTCTGTCCTCAAGGACGTCCGTGCCAAGAGCACACTCACCCCCGACGGACGGAGGACAGACAGACGCAGATGCAGACTCAGCAACAAGACTAGCGGCGTAGTCTAGGCGACAGGCTGCAGCAAAGTCAATAAGCTCAGCAACAAGAGCAGACGCAGCAGAGGACTCAAACAGAGGGTCAGT